CAGCAGACAGCAGAGGCAGCCACAGTCTTGAACCAGAGGAAGAAGAAAAAGAAAAAGAGCAAAAAGCAAAGTGCTGAAGGTAAATGGAGAAGAAGGAGATATATTTGTGTATTTAAGGTACACTGTGTAACATTTCTGGCTTGTTTCCATGGAGATGTTACTGCTTTACCTGGAATGTTCCACAGTATTAAACCTGTCAGTGTAGACAGGTAGATGGCACTACCAGGCCAAGTTACAGGTCAAGTCTGTAGAGCGGTGAGCTCTCTCACAGTAAGTAAACAAAAATAACTGTGAAACACATGTAAATGAATAAATGAGAGGTATACACATACATTTAATGCCATACTGTGAAATATTCCAGTCAAAAGTCCATGGACGGACAGGTGGCGTGTTTTCTGTGAAAGTTATATACTGCATCTTTAAACTGATGCGTTTTATTTAGAAGAATAACAGAACTAACATACTTTTTTTCACAGAGGACCTACTAACTGCAAAAGCCAAGCCACCACCAGAAGAGGAGTTTGTCGATATCTTTCAGAAGTTCAAATATTGCTTCAGTCTATTGGTGAGTAAGATGCAGGAAGAAAAGGTATTTATGAAATATCTAGAAATGTTTCTAGCTAAGGGGTAAATGCTTTTTTCTAAACCACAAATCCCATGTACCTTTTTTCTTATTTTTTTTATCTATAATGGTATACAATACAACATATATTAAATACATATATTTAAACCTACTGATTTCTAATTATGGTACAGTATCAAGACAGTCAGGCAGTGTTTTACCGATATGTTATTGTGCTACCAGTTAATACCAAAAATATGTGTGTATATGTATTTTTCTATAGGCTCGTTTGAAATCAACCATCTCCAACCCATCATCAGAGGAACTTGTACATCATGTATTTAAACCTCTGGACATGGTAAGTCAAAGCACTTTGTTACTCTTGCTATTACTACAAATCTGTACAAGTCAGCCTAAAATATCCATGGCCTCAGATAAGTAAGCGGGAGGAATTGTGTAAAGATGTAATAGTACATAAGATTTGTGATTCTTGGATAAAGCAGTGGTTGTTGTCATTGGACACCAAGTGGAAAGTAACTGTAAGCATGTATCAGGTCAAAATAGTTGTCGTCACAACTCTGGTACTGGAGTGCAATTGTGCGGAACGAACTATGAATGTTGGAACATATTAGTATCAGACATAATATTTAGTGGTTTTATGGAAATAAAATGTATAAAATCAACTGGAATAAACAGTATGTACAAGCACTACTAGATATATGTGGCTCTGTTTTGGCTGTTTTTTTATACTTTAAGATGTGTACTCTACAAGACCAATTATTTATGAAAATTGTATCAATAACAGTAAAACATCAACAAGGCACCCTAAATATGTTATGAGCCTTTTGCTATGTATGCTAGGTTAAACTGGGTCAATAAGCCCATGTATTCAGTCAGAATGGCTCTCAAGACAAATCAGCATAGACTGATTGAGGGAATGATGTGTGATTTGACAATGTTTCCTTTTTACTAAAATGTTAACTGTAGCTAAATAATACACTATAGAAAAGGGACTTGCATGAGAACAAGATTTAATGTAAAGTGTACACCAGTGTCCAGTAAATGCATGGTGTAATACTAGTATTTCTAGTATTAATCTTTTGCTGGTTAATGTTCGATAAGAAGTGTATTTTGAGTGCCACACCTGAATGACACACAAACCTTAGGACTAGTTTTAAATGTTGCTTCTTATGTGTGTGCTTACAGATGGTGAGAACTACAGGTGGGCCAACTATGGGGGCATCAGTGACCAGTCCTGCTCTGACCACTTCAGCCGTGACCCTGCTACAGGACACTCTCAATGAGGAGGAGAGGCAGCTGTGGACATCTCTGGGACCCAACTGGACACAGTCACGGTCAGTATCAACATCATGGAGTTGAGGAGTTAAGTGAACAAACATGGAGCATGGAATCATTACAGCATGATTCCAGACTAACCTTGTGAAGTCTGGAAATATTTTTACTTTCATCTTTGAGCTGGAAAACTCCTATTGTGAAACATTAAAAGAGTATCTGTCAACATTATGGCAAGCAGAGACACCTGATTTATGCTTAGAAGGAGACACTTGAAAGCAGTCCAAATATGTAACGTGATTAACTGATTTAGATACAAGAGAAACTGACTCATATTTGTTCACATACAACTTGATTCAAAGTCATACTGCCACCTTGAACAAATATTTGGAGTAAGTGTGGTGATATAAGACCTCGGAATACAATGTTATGTACTGTATGTTGGATATGGTCTATTGCTCTATTTTGTTTTGCATTTTTACACAATGAATGAACCCCTCAAAGATTGTATAAGGAATCAGATTTCCAAATTTCCATGTGACAACAATACATTGTTAATCCACTTCTAGCGTTATTTCCTAAAGTGTTTAAATGTTTTATAAAACCATGGTATTAGAAGACTTTTAATATATTAAGTGGTTACTGTAATTGCTGCTAATTGTCTCACAGCTCTCAACTCAGAGAACCAATAGCTCCCTACAGCCCTGTGTTCCTGGATGGGTGGAAGCCGGAAGCCTCAAGGCCAGACGGGCAGGTTTGGGAGGATCCAGTCGAGTCAGCACACAAACATGAAGCTCTCCGAGAAAAACAAGAGGTACCAAATACCAAAGTACATGACAGAGACTGGTACTACAAGGCACAATACACATCAAAATGAAAGCAATACAAACTCTTAAGACAACATAGTTGTATAAAATATTAGTACACCGGAGTTACTTGGTCAAAAAAGTTTGGTGAAAATACATTGGTTGAGTTACTTTTACACAGTATGTTTCACTAACTATAATCTGTTTTTGCTTAATTATGCTTGATTATTTTAGGTTGATTAATCTCTAACTGAATACTACTTTTTTCATATATCAGTAACACTTTAAAATAAATCAGGAATATTTTCAGTTACAATTGAAAATTACAATTACAATTACAAAGTACTTCAATACATGGGATAACTTATGGACACCACATAAACAAGCTGCTTTTATACGGAAATATTTTTAAATAATGTGCGTTACCTCATAAATGTTGTCTCTGTTCAAATGGCAAATAGCTTTTATACATTTATATTCTGCTTTCCTACCCACAGCAAGAGCGGCTATCCCAGCTGGCCAAACCCTCAGTTAACGATGAAATGTAAGTCCACCCTAAATGCATTTAAAAATGCTGTTATTGTCCCATCCATTTTAACAAATAATGTTTTGTTTGCTCTCAGAGATAGCTATGGACAGCCCCCACAACCCGACAGACTATACTGCTGCAGTTATGACTTCATAGCGAGAAACAACAGTGAACTTTCAATTCAAAAAGGGGAAGTACTTGAGGTAAGGCTACACTTACACACTATTTTATATTTTATGTATATATAAATATGTTCCTTCATGAGAGGCCAACTGTACTCAGAGCATGCCATCTATCATTGCAGGTGCTTGAATCATCCAAACGTTGGTGGAAATGTCGCAATCGGTATGACCAAGTGGGTTTTGTTCCTCACAACATGCTCGAACCTCTGGCTCATGTGGACAGCCCGGTCGCCAGTGTCCCACATGTAAACAATACGATTTGCACAACATGACATTTGTATACTATACATATCTGTGCATGCCTGATTGTTCCTGTATTGTTCCTCCCAGGTACCAGCCGCTCCTCCTGCTCCTAAGCTTGATAACAGACTGTCACTGATCCCACTTGCCCCGCCACCAGCTTCCTCTCCTTCACCCCAGAGGCCCGTCAGCATGCCTCCATACCTCCCACATGCACCTGCCACAGAGGACACAGACAAAGGTACCACAAGCCTTGAGTCAGGAGAACTGAGGGTGTGGAAATATTTTGGAAACATTTGGCTTGCTTCTGACATTGGTTATATTTTAACAGAGCAATTAGTTTTGTGTTTTCATTCATTTTAAAGTAGCCTACAAAAAATCCTAATTGAGAACTTGAGGTGGAGGAACATAAAACCACACCCCCCTTAAATTAAATATTTGCACACAAGTAAAATAAGACATGGATGTAGTTAATATGTTTTTGTCCAAAGCAGTATATTTCTAAATGTACACCACAAAAGTAAATCATGTTGAATTAAAAACAAAATTTTAAAGTGAACTATAACATATATGTACATATCTGTTGCTGATTTTTAGAAGTTATGAATGAGGTGAATGAGGAGCTGCTCCAGAGGCTGACTAATGGGAAGGCCAATCTGAATAAGCTGCTGGTCATTCCCCGCTCCACAGAGACCAGTGTGCCACTGGACTACCACTCTCCCCCGGAAGAGGTCGCCGAGTGGCTTAGAGGGAAGGGCTTCACTGATGCGTAAGGAACAACTGACATGGAGGCATGGAGTTGGTTAGGTGTACATCATGTTAATATTTTCCTTTCGTTTAGAACTGTTGATTGTTTGGGTGTGTTGACTGGGGCACAGCTTTTCTCCCTAAATAAAGAAGAGCTACGCGCTGTTATTCCAAAAGAGGGCGCCAGAGTCTACAGCCAGCTGACTGTCCAGAAAGCACTGCTAGAGGTAAAAACAATTTAAGTTTGGTCTGTGCAGGTAAAATAAATGCATGCGATAAAATATATGCTTTTTTTTTTTGTTTGTCTACAGGATGCTAGGAGAGCCACAGAGCTGGAAGCAGTTATGGAGAAGCAGAAAATGAAAGTTGATCATAATTTAGAGAGCGGCACATTGTAAAAAAACAAAACAAAAAACAGATAAAGCACGATTGTCACAATTTAAAAAAATCATTAACCAGCTTTTTGGTGTGAAAACATACTGCCAGTCATTAATTTTTAAAATGACATGAGCTTTCATCTTTAATGTATAGCAGAACATAACATGCAAATTTATGCTTATGTTGCACAGTACTAAATTAAACAAACTGTATTTATCTGTGTTTTTAATCTGAGTAAAGGAATAATGTAAAACAAAAACAAATAATGTTGCAGTTTTTAATAACACTTCAAAAAAAGACTATCTCAAGGTAACAATGCAATGACAGCACATATGAAGGTCAAGTAATGCATCCATTTCAATTGCTTTTATTTATTTGTGATGTCTGGTGTAGAGGCCAAAGATAAACTATATACATACAAAAATCAAAAGTAAAAAAAAGATGTCACCAGTACTCCCTAAACTAACGGTGACACTAAAAACTTTATTTTTAAAACTGGCTGAATATTTGTTTGCTGGCCACAACATTGTATTTCAGTCCGATTTTAATTTGGATTTATGTAAAATACAGCCCCATTTTTTTAAATGAAAGATGTTCATTGGGCACCAAGCCTAAATACTAAATATTTTATAAATGTACATTTTGACTTGCTTTTTAGAGTGTAATACATAACAAAACAATAATAATAATAATGTAATGATGTAAAACAAACAACCCATTAACCACATATCTTGATATTACAGTAAGCTACTGAACAAAAACAACCTGTTCAAAATATATTCAGTGGACTTCTGGATGCTTAAAAAAAATAAATCAAACATAAGATGACTGTCCAGTAAAATCAAAGAAATTATACAAGCAGAAAACACATTGGTCAAAGTGAAGGCTGAATGTGACATTGGGTAGTTTGAAAAGAACTGAGAGGTGATGAACACAGAAAGAGGTGGGATGGTGGACGTTTGTCTTCAGAGATCTCCCGTATCCTTGTCTTCTGCTCGTCTGGAGTCTGACTTTCCATTCACACCATCCCTCCTGTCCCGGTCTCGCTCACGAGAGCGGTCTCTAGATGAGCGCTCTCTGTCTCTGGAGGAACGCTCTCGGTCCCTTGATGACCTTGAGTTACAGGAGACACATATGATCAAGAAAGGGTTTATTTAGAACAACACTAGAACGGACCTCAGGTTTGTGACCACTCACTTATGCCTAGAGCTGCGCTCATGACTGTGGCGATGGCCGCGGCTGCGAGAGCGACTGCGGTGCCTCCTCCTTCGATCCCTGGAGCGTGACCGGGACCGACGCCTCTCCCGAGAAGAGGAGCGTGAGCGCCTCCTTCTGCGGTCACGTGAGCGGGACCTAACCAGTTCACAGTATTTAAAAATTATGCTTTTTTTAGAAGAAGCCACACAGACATTTTAGGCCAGGGGTTCTTAACCTTTTCAATCTTGGGGCCTTTTCTGAACAAAGTTAACCTGGGGGCCCTATCTCATATTAAATGTCTTATATAGTACTGATTGTGGGGCCCCCAAGGAGGTGGTCCCGGCCCTATGGTTAAGAATCTGTTTTAGGCCAGAACTTACCGCTTGTGCTCTCGCTCCCGCTCCCTGCTGCGTGACCTTGTCTTCCTTTTCATCCGCTCCTCTTTTTCTCTCTCTTCTCGTCTCTTCAACCTTTCCTGGTTTCTTTTCTCCTGCTTATCACCAACAATTTTCTAAAAACAAGAACATACAAAGACATTTATAAAGAAGATATGTAGGACGGGTGAGATTATGTGACTATACTTGAATGATGGTGTGAATCCTCCATACCTTCAGTTGGTCTAGCTTCTCCCTAATCTGAATGAAACCCAGGTGGAGTTTCCCTCCAAAGTGGTCCGCCAGGCGCCGATCATTGTCATGCAAACCGAGGTAGGCCGAGCAAACCTCACACACACGCAGCTTCTGTTGCTGATAGCTAGAGGCTGGCATTGAATTTCTGTACTCTTCCTAATAGTAAAAGTAAAAATGCAATTTAGATCAGCAAAGACAAAAATGGCACACATGCACACACCCTCTCTTACCTCAGCATCCTTCTTCTTCGTGCGAACCTTTTCTACTTCCTGAAGGACCTTCTGAGCTTCATCCACATTACCCTCAGCTCCCAACTGCTCAGCTTTGGCCAGAAGTTTTCCAATTTCCTCATTTAGCTCATGGACTTTTTCTGCCTACATCAACAAAGTGCAGTGTAAACATAAAAATGCATATTGTCATAATATGCTCAATATGAGACAATGTAACTCACTTTTGCTGCAACTTCAGCACTGATCTCCTCTTGAGTTTCAGTCAAACGCTTTTTGGCCAATTCTGTCCTTCCATCACAGTCAGCGATGAAAGACTCCAGATGTTCCACAGCCTGAACACATGACACATCATAGATGAGGATGAGGATAGGATAGTTGACCACACTGTTTGGTCATTTTACTTACATCCAACTCAAAAAACAGATCCCGCTCCTTGGAAGCAATTTCATAATCAGCTCGAAGGGCCAGGTCATGAATCTTTGCACACTCTCCTAGGTCCATACGCTATAAAAGGTAGAAAAGGGCACAATTAATGCTAAACAGTGATGTAGATGTTAAGCATGGATAAAGATCTACTTACCGTCCCGGACAGAATGTCATGTGGACAGCAGTTAAGAAGATGGCTTTTACACACCCGGTCATCAGTAAACTTCACCCTCTGCCGCGTCTCATCCCCTGAAACAACGAGAAGGACAAACTGAGCGAGAACTCATAACTCAATTGCTTGTTTGGCCTGTATATCCAACAATGTAAAAAATCTGACACATTTGTGTGCATGATTAGCATTCAGAAAAGCACATAATGAGTTTTTTTTTCTTCTTTTATTGTTTTTAAGACGCCTAGTTTGATCTTGTTGTGCACACTGTTGGTAGATAAAATAGTGTCTTTAAAAAAATAATTAAATTTAAGCAGGCTTTGCGTTGAAATTTGTGTTTGAAATTAGTCCTCGGAGAAAGGTTCTATTCTAATTGCAAAATGTCCACAAAATGTGAAAGTTTTTGCAGTCTGCAGACTGCAACAGTAATTTCTTCCTTTAGTCACAGCAATGTCCTTTACAAGTGTCAATGAAAGCACAGTCACAAAATGCAGAAAACAAGCGAAGAAAGAAAGTGTTGTATACACACTGCGATCTGCACCACATACTGTACCCATCTGCATCTTCAAGACCTCAGTTGCAGAATTTAAACCCGCTGTAGAAAAGTTTTAATTGGAACACTGTTCTTGCCCATACCTGCAGTAAGAAGTTGTCATACACAAGTCAGATTGTAAATGAGTTGTGAAAAGGCTTTCTTTGGACTGCTAAAATTACCTTAAGGAAAGGTTCCTGTTTACACTTGAGGCCAGATGTCTTAGCTGAAACTGTATACTACTCCAATGGTTAAGAATCGTGCCACTGAAGCCTTACGCAAGGTTTTCAGTAAAATAAAAACTACAATAACTTCCGGAAGGCAAACAAATTGTTTGGATATGATTTATAACAGCTTTAAAAATTGTATGACTCACGGCTCGATGAACATGAGGCTTTTCTGCAACTCCTTTGCAGATTGGTGTGGGCTGGCAAAGATACACTGAACCTTAATGAATAAAATAAAGGGGCCACAATTGTTCAGTTTGTATGCAACATACGCATGGGAAGAATTTTAAAATAACTTCATCACACACACAACCACAAAGTTACAACACAAATTTCCTATTAAAAATTGAATACAGCTATTCAAGAAGTCTGTCCAAAATTGCCTAGGCTGGTATACCATTTAATGTTTGTAACCATTTAGCTACATGGTCCTACTACAGTCTCTGACTCAAAAGCCAAAAGCCAGGGAAAATACGCTCATTAATGACAAGGCATTGTTTCAGGCGATAGTATCGATTGGGATGTTGTCGAACAAACAGATTCCCCTTTTCCAATACGACTTGTGCATCTACCCTCCCCAGACAGCAGAGAACTAGCCGTTGCAACTTTAGCCCGTGCAAGACATAAATAACAACGCATTAAGCGGGAGAAAAATCGAAAGAACAAAGATTAACGCGTAACCGATGCTAAATCGCTACAAACATTAAATCTAGAATAATCGCTTTTTGAAAATAATGACAATGTAATCAATAGAGCCTCATGTTCTTCACACTCATGCTGCTCTTTAAGATTACAGTCAGCACTTGCAAGTGTTAGCGGTGACTCCATATTGGCTAGCATAGCTAACAGGCTACGGCAACTCACCATCCCTCGCTGTTCCCATCAGCTGGTCGAGCAAAGCTCTCATTTGAGCTTGAGCAGACATGGTTGTGAGTCCGTCGTGGGCTGTTTATAAAACCAATATAACGATATGCAGTCTCCTGATTAGTGTTTATGGCGCTCGTTTGTTAGTTCCTGCGAGCATCACCTCCTCTTGCTGGTTAGCGTTTCTTCTTCGCCCGTTTCCGTTTTGACTTTGGAATTGACGACACTTCCGTTTCGGGTCAGGGTGAGCGGTGGCGATTATCGGGTCCAATCAGAAGCAATAATAACCAGTAACACGTATTTATCTAGGTCGACTCCTGTGTATGGATGTGTCTTTGCACCTGGCAGTCCAAAGAAAAGCCGTGCGCATAAACAGGTCAGCGGTCAGTCATTACTTTGTGGTCTATTAGCGCTAGACTTCACTGTGGAGTGTACACAGTGCAGACTTGTTTGACTGAATCTCAGCGATTGGTCTACGCATGTGACGCTGTCGATCTGTTTTTGGGAGGTCTGTCAGCTCAATACAGGAAGAGAAAAGTTTTCCTGCCTGTTAAACAGCCTACTCTTCCCTTCGGAAACTATTCCTGTCCATGGCAAGTTAAGGTAGTCTGTAATGTTATTTGACTGGGTATGTGAACCTAACTTGCATACATTATTATTACTAATACTTATTTTTTAAGATAGTAATGCAGACGTTTCGTATTGTGACATTAACAGCTGGTCTAAGTACTAGATGGGGTTATTGCTCAGTTTGAACAAACAAGTCGTGTTAGCATTGTAGCAAAGTGGCTTTTGTGCGAGGAAGTCTCTGGAGCTACAGGCAGCTGTCAAAAGGCACAGCATAGCACGAACGTAACACAAATAGCCTGAAACTCGCTGCTGCGGTCACAATTTTAATATAACAAAAACTAATGGATGCCTTTGTTATTTTTACATTTCTGTCTCAAATTATTAACTTGTTATTATTAGGTAATGCACTGCAAAGATGGAACATTCGGACAATCCTGCTGAAGGAGACCCTTTAAAAAGAGAAGATGGGGCAGAGGCAGGCCCGCCTACATCCACTACTGAACTAAAGAAGGGCTGTAAAGACTTGGGCTTTGCCAAGCTCACACACTGGCGCACAGCAGTGTTTTTCTTCTCCTTGTTCCTCTGTCTCACTGTAGTCTTTGCCTTCTCCTTCATCATCCCCTGTCCGGTCAGACCACAGTACCTTATAGCATGGAACAGGATATTCAATGAAACAGGTATTACTAATGTTACTGGGTATTACTAATGTTATTACTAAATTCTGTCTTTTCCTTTCTGTTACAGCCACATATGACTTTCTAGCAGTTGAAGATGCAAGCAAAGACAAGGTGATGGATGTGCTATTTGTCATCAAGAGTAGTGAAGGAAGTCAGAACAATACTTGTGCTGGTGAAGGTATAGAGTCCACATTACTAACACCTGATTATTGCTGAGAAATCTGTGACAATGAGCTTCGCCTTTCAGGTCTGCCATCTCCATGCATCTTTGTGTTCGCTGTTGATGGGACAGATGGAGAGACTCTGTGGGAGCGACCACTGGAGCCAGAGTTACACTGGGCTCAATGTGGTCTGGAGAAAGGCCGTAGCAGGAGCTGGGACTGTCTGGTGTCGCACTCTGATAAACTCACTGCTATCGATAAATACAAAGGTTTGAACTAAAAGGCAACATTGGTGTTGTTTCATCTTGACTAAATTACATTCTTTTTTCAGGAGAAGTTCAGTGGCAACAGCCACACCCAGCTGGGCAGCCCAGCACTATTCCTGTTCTGAGCCTTCCAGATCTGGACGGGGACAAGGTCGGGGATGTTGCTCTCATAGCTCATGAATCTGAAAATGTAAGTTACTTAACTTAAACCGTGTGTGCTTCACATACAGCTAATGCACTTTCACATACTTGTACTGTAACAAATGTATGTTTTTTTGTCTTTCATAGACCAAGATAATTTTTCTCTCAGGGAAAACTGGTTTGCAAATTGGTTCAACAGTTCCTCTTGATGCAACAAAAAATGACAATCACCTTCTCTATCAAACCGAAGGTGGTTCCTTCTATATACTTCTTGAAAAAGGTTTGTTACTAAGTGTTGCTGTATGAGTCCGCAATAATTAATAAATTGAGTGTATATTTACTTGGTAAATAGAGATGAAAACAATATGATTTCATATTTTATTATGTTGCTCACAGACACAGGACTGTTTGGACTTGCACTTTGGAGAGTTGCTGCTAAAGCTAAAGCAGGAATTGATGCAGGTCTCACCAAAGACAAACACTGGGAGAGCAAAGCCAGTGCAAGAGGACTTGTGCACATTTTCAAGTAAGAAAGGATTTATAGATATTTAATTTATCTTGACTTTATTCTTCAGCAGGAGCTTGTTATGATTTATGGAATATTCTTTTTCCTTCCACAGGTCTGAACAAGTAAGACAAGTGTTAAAAACAACAGAAAAAGATGGTGCAAATGTGCTTGTCGTGACTAAAACAGAAGTGGTACAAATTGATAGAAACTTGGAGATATTGTGGATTTATAATACCAGCTCTGTCCTTGGGTAAGAAGTTGTTGATACTGTACTTATGGTATAAATGGGTGCACTAGATAAAATGTGTTCTGTTTATTTTAGAATACCATCTTTTGGCCACTTCAACAAAGATCAAATTCTTGATGTTGTTATTGAGGAGGGTATTGGCAATAACACAAAGAAGGTGAGATGAATGTATATTTGACCTAACATCAACATTTGAAAATTTTGATTTAACATGTAGTGAATTGAGCTTAGGTGATCATTTTGGATGGGAAGTCTGGAGTTGTAGTATGGGAAGTCACTCTTGAGGCCAGTCCAAATTCACCACGACCTGCTTCCATTCACACTACCAATTCCTTCTCAGTTTTTATGTTCTGGGGCCTTGTGCGAGCAGAGACCAACTCATCTGTAATTATGCCAGTTTCTATATTTTTACTCATAAACACGTAGTACATAAGATAAAAAAATATTTTTAAGTAATTGTTATTTCTTTTAGATGCAAATAACAAGCAACCGACGTGCCTACATGCTCCATCCGTTGTATTCTAAAGTGCTTCTTGAGTCGCCCAATGTTGTGGACTATATTATCGCATTCAGAGGTACAAGGCTTAAATTTATATTCTTGGGTTGATGAAACACTATGACCTCAAACATTAAAATGGGAGAAAGTAATGTGCAAACAGACAATGGTCCCTCACTGGTAAAATTCATATTAATCAAATGGAAATGTGTTTGTAATGTCACAATTCCATTATTAGCGGCTATTTGACTGTAACTCTGAGTCCTTTATCTTTTCTGGAGAAGGACCACCAGCCAACATTACTTACATAGTTTGTCACATCTCTTAAGTCAGAATAATCTGTAGAAAATTGTATTTGTATCAAAAGTAGAGATTCGTGCATCACGACTAGGTGAATTTGTGTGGCAAAAATCTGTCTTTTGTGGAGAATAGAGCAACTGTTCACAAATGTTTGTTTGCACCCTGCGTCCCTGATTAGTAATATGACTAGTTGTGCAAGACTGAGAGCTGAGTGGCATTTTAACACATTTGTTCATTAGTCACTGCAAAGTTGAACCATCCCAAATGAGGGTAGCTCGATTTGTTTCAGCTTTTAATACTGACATAATGTGCACCTGCTACAAAATACAATACATCCCATTACAAGTCTGGTAATCCAGATTTTTGGATCCAGATTATTGTAAAGATGATATAGGCTGTCTGTGCTATGTAGCTAATGAAATTTGTATTCTCTTAAATTGCAGCCACATTGTTGGAGCATGGGCGCCACGCTGCCTACTTCACGCTCAGTGGTCCTGGGTCAGAGGGGACGGAGGGGACTGTGATCCTCAGCAAGAGAAAACTGAAGCAGGATGTTCCTGAGAGCCGAGTCATTCGGATTGGCACTGGAGGAGACACAGACACGAATGAGAACATCAAAGAGGCCTTCAACAGACTGCGTTTCAGTGATGAGTGAATAAAGCTGCATTTGTGGTAAATACATAGGATAAGAGACCGTGCAAATAACTATTAAAACTGCTGACAGCCAAAGAGACTTCCAAGGTACAAGGGCTTTTCCTTATCTTACCTCGCTGCAAAATGGGCATTATGTAGTTTTTGTTATTACTTCTTCTCTGACAATCACACCACTGATTGCAAGAAAAATATAGGTCTATTTATATTCTATGTAGTTGTATGTACTAGTCTGTTGTTCAGTCAACGTGTTTGTATGGGGTAAAAGGTTTTTGTTACTTCTGGATGGGAATGTTATGGGTGTGTTTGGTGAAATATAGGCTACTGTACAGTGGAATAATTGATAATATATATTATATAAAGAGTGGAATATACAGAGTTTGAACTTGAGATCAGGCCCTGCTGAGGTGGTGAACTGAGTAGCCAAATAGCTAATTTTGGCAATAAATTCATATGTAATTTAATCCAGAATGCTGGAACTCATGAATGTGGACAGGTCAGACCCAAAGTTTTTTTTTATTGCTGTGGTTTTATTTAAAATTTAAGTATGTTTGATATGCAACAACAACATTAAAACACAACTGAAAATAGTTTATGTGTTTATACATTTAGTAATGTATCTATCTAATATATATATATATATATATATATATATATATATATATATATATATATATATATATATATATATATATATATATATATATATATATATATATATATATATATATATATATATATATATATATATAATATAATATAGATATAGATAGATAGATATATGTGTGTGTGTGTGTGTGTGTATATATATAATACATATACAGACAAAATGTGGACAAAATTGTTGGTACCTCTCTGGGCAATGAAAGAAAAATCTACAAATTTCACTGAAATAACATGACTAAGAAAAGCAATAATAAATAAAAATGTTCTGAAAAATAGCCACTGAAAATCAGACACCGCTTTTGAATTGTTGTTCAACAGAATTATTTTAAAAAAGAAACTAATGACTGGCCTGGACAAAAATGATGGTACCTCTGGAAAAGATTGTCAGTAATTGGACAATATGGACATTTTAAATTTAGTGTTGGGAGTAACGCGTTATAAAAGTAACGAATTACAGTAATGCATTGCTTTTTGCTGTAACGCAGTAATGTAAGGCATTACAGGGGGGAAAATTGTAATATTTTACTCGGTACAAATGTGAGTAACGCGCGTTACAATGCTTTTTTAACCTGGATCGAAGTGGTGTGTTTTTCTTCATACAAATTCGCTAAAATCACCGCGATATCAGCAGCGGGGAAACACCGGAGACGTGGCCGAGTAGACCTTCAGGTAACCGCGGGGAAAGGACTGACACAGAACTCTACGCTGTTTAGACCTGGCTTAGACCTGGGTCAGTTCTGGTTTAGACCTGGGTTACAGTCGTCCGAAGTGCTGTATGTTTGCAAGTTTTCTCTCCGACAAAACCCACAACGTCGACAAAACGTTCTGCACTGACAAAGGCTCCTGCGCTCGCACCCAAAAGGCAGAGGAAGATGCTCACTATCGCACAAAAAGTTGGACTTCTGGACACGCTGAAGGAAGGTAGAAGTTACGTGCTGTAGCAGAGTCTTACACCGGGTCGGGTACTAGAGATGCGCGGATTGCGGTTACAACCGCGGTATCCGCGGTTAATCCGCGGGTCGGGCGGATGACGTGACGAAAAATTATATTTTAATTAAATTCAGGCGGGTGGCGGTTTAACTACTAAAAAAAAAAAAAAAAAAAGTTATTGTTAGTATTGTTACCTACATCTGAAAAGGCGAGTCTCATTGTCTATGCTTGTAGTATGAAGTGTACGTCATGTCCTTAATTAGCCTATTTGACCTCGTTTTTATGTTCTGAAGGTTAAGGTTGTGTCGGGTTATTGATGCCTAAGGTTTACGAGGCACATATTATATGCAGTTTATTTTATTATTTCTAATTTATTTCAGCTGTTTGCCAACACGTAAGTGGCTATAGGGCCATATTTATTTAGTTATGCTTTTTTTTTTTTTTTTTTCGATATCAGATATATTTTAAAACACGCAGACATTATAGCGTAGACTGCCACTCGGGGGATTTAAAACTTAAAGAAAGACCGATGGAGTGAGGCTATGACTTTGAAATAACGTCGGGCAATGGCAGAATGTTCAGAATGTAACAACATCCAACACGAAGGCAAGAAGGTTCAAAAACAGCCTAGTCGGAAAACGTTGTCAGTTAATTAGCTGCGCAAGAAAACCAGGTAAGTTTGGGGTTGTTACGGACAATTAACTGTGTCGGCGGCAAGGTGGGGCATTTGAGGGCCGTGCCCCCCCTAGCGGCCACTGGTGCCCCTCTTGCAACAGGCCGTTATTATTACTATTTTAAAATGATTTTGATTGGCGCATTTCACTTCGGGCCGAGGGCACAAACTTTACTGTGACATCAATGACATCACAGTCTCTGTTTATTTAGTGTAGTGTGATTGGACAACTGTCCTGTCACTTACGTCACGTCACGTCAACCTGCTGCGTCAACTCGTAGCAGCTCCACGATTAGCGGCAGCTGCTACTTTAGCCTAAAGCGCCACACAGGAAATGGCGAGAACAGAGTCAAAGACACTGACAGACCCGCCGCCGGGACCCGGGACTGTCGCCGCTGGGACCCGGGACTGTCTCCGCCCGGACTCGGGGCAGTCGCCGCTGGGACTCTCGCTGCCGCCGCCGGGGCCAGGGCAGTCGCTCGCTCCTCTATCCGCCTTTGCCCGCTCGTTTCTGGGTGTACAAGTTTGACCTGAGCATAGCGCGCAGAGGCATAATTCTACCTGGTGTCCTGGTGCTGATATGGACTGACCGTAACTTTCAGATTTAAGTGGGAAGTGGGATTAAGACTAATTTTACAACCGCTCGTGCACTCGGCTCCCGGACCTCGCGTCACGGACCAGACTGGACCAGGATTTGGACCAGTTTCATCTCTTCATATTGGACAATAGACTTTTGGAAACAGAACCAGTGGGACAGTGGATAGAGGAAACATTCTGCTTCAGTCTCTGGAGAAGGTAAGAGGCTGGTTTTCATTAGTTTGCGGCAAATCTGAACTTGGAGCCTCACAGGTAAAGAGTGTTATAGTTTTAATAGTTAAATAGTGTTATAGTGTTAATAGTTAATAGTTAATAGTGCGTAAATGAGCTGGTGGGTGCGATGGAGCTGCTCTGGTTGTTCTGTCGTGTGCTGTAGGAGCGGCATCTGTGTTCATGTCTTATTGTAGTTTTGCTGACGTTGTTGGGTCTGGGTGTGAGCGGCGTGTTCCGTTGTGTTGTTGCATAAAGTTTGCACTTGGCTGTTCATTGTGCTCTGATCGATACTGTTCAGCCAATACTAACCAAAATGTCTGTTTCTGGTATTTGTTATAATACTACAGCCTATATATATATATATATATATATATATATATATATATATATATATATATATATATATATATATATATATATATCATATATATATATATATATATATTTATAATTTTGCCCTTGGTGCCCCTCCCAAAAATTATACCATCAGCCGCCACTGGTCCTGGTTTAGTCCTGGTTTAGTCCTGGTTTAGTCCTGGTTTAGTCCTGGTTTCGTCCTGGTTTAGTCCTGGTTTAGTCCCGGTCCCTCAAGTCTCAGGTCTCTATAGGACAGGACTGGACGGCGACTCGCGTACCACGCCCATTACAGCCCTGGTGCTGTCCGATGCGTGGCTATTTCTAGTTCAGAGGTGTTTTTGACGAGAGGCTGTTGTTTAATGTTTACAACCAGTGGCAGGACTTATTGTTTTTTAATAAACCTCAACCTTTTATTATTGTCTTGTGTGCCTATCGTCTACCACACAGCCTCAACAACTATTGCAGCTAATAATAATAATAATCTTAATATAATAATGATTATAATAACAACACATAATTAGCCTAATACTGTTAAAGAAAAACGTGTTTGATAGCATGTCTGCTGTGTATGACTCCACTGCGTTAAAATATTTCTCAAATGGCAGTGCCCCCCCTGCTGGTGACCCATGCCCCTCCAGTAGATGTGCTCTGACGCCGACTCTGACAATTAAGAATGCGAACATACACGCTGAGCGAATTTTGGAATGAATGAGCTATAGTTTGCATTTTTATCGAGGCTCCTTAGTTTGTTTGCTGTATGATTGTTCTAAAATCTAAAATCAATCGGCGGATGGCGGGCGGGTGCGGTTTTGAAAACCTTCGGTGCAAAATGGGTAGCGGGCGGATGATGAGTTTTGTGTCGCGGTTGCGGATGAAAAAATAGCCCATCCGCGCATCTCTATCGGGTACCCGCAAATAGTTGCTGAAATCAGGGCCGCGAGCCCGCGGAGCACGGTGTCCATAAAGCGCGATCGGGCGACAGCCGCTCTTACCTCCGTGAGGTGCGGAGCAGAGCCGCTCCTTTCTCCTGCGGTCACCTTCGAGCCCATCCCGACAGTGAGTCCTGTTTTAGTCCTAGTTCAGTTTTGGTTTAGTCCTGGTTTTGTTCTGGTTTAGTTCTGGTTTAGTCCTGTTTTAGTCCTAGTTCAGTTCTGGTTTAGTTCTCCTCTTCAGTCCTGGAATCAGTCCGAGGTTAGTCCTGTTATAGTCCTGGTTTAGTCCTGGTTCAGCTCTGGTTTAGTCCTGGTTTAGACCTGGTTTAGACCTGGTTTAGTCCTGGTTCAGTCCATATACGGCGCAAAAGTTCAGCATCTTCGCAGTTATTTTGGTGAGAGTAACTTAAAGTAATGCAATAGTAATGTAATGCCTTACATTTTAAATGCAGTAATATTGTAATGTAATGAATTACTTTGAAATTACAGTAATAAGTAATAAATAACGCATTACGTTTTTAAAGTAACTTGCCCAACAGTGGTCTTCAACCTTGTCCTCAGTCAGTCTGCCTGTTTAAAGGGGGACGTGTCATTGTGCTGTTTGGAGACATGATGGACCAGAGAAAGTGAAGAAGAAAACTGTGTCAGGAGACTAGAAAGAAAATGATAGAAGCAGGTTAAGCATAAAGGCCATAAGACCATCTCCGAGCAGCTTGATGTTCCTGTGATTATAGTTACACATGTTATTCAGAAGTTTAAGGTCCACAGGACTGTAACCAACCTCCCTGGATGTAGCCGCAAGAGGAAAATTGATGACAAATTGAAGAAATGGATCATACGAATGGAACCAAAAAGCTAAAACAACCTCCAAACAAATTAAATGTGAACTCGAAGGGCAAGGTACATCAGTGTCAGATCACACTATCCGTCACTGTTTGAGATGCAAATCATAAAGTGAAACTGGAATTTGCCACGATGCATATTGACAAGCCACAAAGCTTCTGGGAGAATGTCCTTTGCACAGATGAGACAAAACTGGAGCTCTTTGGCAAGGCACATCAGCTCTATGTTCACAGATGCAAAAATGAAGCACACCAAGCAAAGAACATTGTCCCTACTGTGAAGCATGAAGCAGGCTATATATATATTCATGTTATTCATGTTATATTCTGGGGCTGTTTTGCTCTGGCACAGGGTGTCTTGAATTGTATTTTGGAACGAAATGTGTTGACTAGTGTCAGAAAGCTTGGTCTCAGTCATAGGTCATGGGACTTCCAACAGGATAATGACCCTAAAAACACACAAGAATGGCTAAGAACAAAACATTTGACTGTTCTGGAGTGGTCTTCTGTGAGCCCAGGTCTCAATCCTATTGAACATTTGTGGAAGCAGCTGAAACATGCTGTCTGGAGAAGGCACCCTTTAAAGCTAAGGCAACTAGAGAATTTTGCTTATGAGAAATGGGTCAAAATACCTGCTGATCAGTGCAGAAGTCTCATTGACAGAAATCATTTGTTTGCAAAGTTTGCCTCAAAAGGTTGTGTAACAAAATATTAAGTTAAGGGTACCGTCATTTTTGTCCAGGCCAGTTTCTTTATTTTTGTTTTTCTGTTTAACCATAGGTGAAAAGCAATGTTTGATTTTCATGGGGCAATTTTCAGTAAAATTTTATTTATTATTACTTTTATCAGTTTCAAGTTATTTCAGTGATGATTGTCGATTTTTCTTTCATTGCCAGAGGGGTACCAACAATTTTGTCCACAGACGTGGACAAAATTGTATATTGTATTTATATTATATACACATATGTATGCGCGCGCAGAATAATAAACATAATAAAACCACAGCGGCGCTTGCATGTGCAGTTTTTCTTCTTTAAAAACACTGAAACAAAAATAAAGTTGCTTGTAATATTATATTACATGTTTTTTTTTTTTTTTTTATTATTATTATAGAATACGTTTACACTAAATTGCATTAAGAATACAGTACTGTAATTGGGCCATGTAGCGGAATACGTTACAAAATACATAATTCGGGTATTCAGTATTCTGTAACTCAATACATTTTCAAAGTATTCTTCCTATACCTAACCTTTGATTTGAATAACACGTTTAATCCAAAAGTAGAAACATTTTGTCTCCATCTTGTGTTCAAACAAAGACACTGCATGCATACGTGCCGTTTCATGCAATAAAAACGTCTGACATGCGCACTGAGAAGCCGTTGCCGGTTCAAATCAGTCCATAGATGTATGTGAGAGTGGCACGTACTACTGGGCTGGTCCTGGAGTTTACACCCGGAATAACGCGTGAATCATGACTCAGCGTCCTGCAATGTTCACTCCTATTCTCTCGTGGAAAAGTAACCCTTTGTAGTGTAGTGAAGACTAACATTTTAATATAAAAGTGCAACAATAAAAGGCACTGCGGATAAATGAAATAATCATAAAAATGGGGTCTGATAGAAAAATCAACGTTGCGACATTCACCTACATTCAAGCAAGTCACACACTACCATGGCCATCGACGCTGACCCTATTTGAACCCACAAGAAGTGAGTCGACTCCATGATAATCAGAGGTGATGGGTTTTGACAGGTTGGTTCATTGACAAAGAAATAGAGAGCATATGTCCCAAGCTTTCAGATTGAGCCAAGGTTATCACAACATAATTATTTTTGTCAAGGTAATACGAGCCCAGATACAGGAACAAGTCTGGGCCAATGATTAACAAGTCAGTGAGTGCTTCCGCATTTGCAGAGAACTTTCTATCAAATAAATTATATTTAATAATGAAAACCACCGCCCTTGTAGTCTCTTCATGTGTCTCTTCAGAAGCGGTCCTGTTGCAGCCCATCACCTGAACTTGACCTGCTAAGTGCTCTTATTGTGTGGCCGTCAATTCAATGTGACCTAAGTCCGCCATACCGTTATGATAGCACCGCACGGCACCAGTCTCCAGAAGTGAGCGCGCGTCACGCGTGGAGCGCACAGTGCATCAGAGTCGGACATTCCCGCACCGTTCTTTTCAAGTGTCTTTTTGGGGTCGACACAAGGTATGTTGTGCGTGGCTTATCTTTACTTCAATACGTTTATCTTAGAATTGTATTAGTGTATTGAGCAATGAATGAATATATTGCCTACTACTGGTATTCTCCGCGCCTGAAACGAAAGTGCTAGGCTTATGGCACTATCAGATTATTAAAACTCAATTAGTTCTTCTTTACTTCAGAATGCTTGTGAAATTATTCGCATTTAGTTGACTAACACCTTGATATGTATGATGAAACAAACCTGAATATAGGCTAGATGTAAAGATGAAAGCATGTGAGGCCTGCTGTTGGCATTAGATTGTAATCGAATGGCATGATGGTTTTGCATTTATAATGTCTACAGGGTCATCAGCTGGCCTGTAAACGCGTGGTCATGTTTGGTCAGCAAACCCACGCAACCTGTGTGTCTGCACTTGCCCCTTTCTGATAATTTGTCTATACCAATTTACTGTGTCGAAGACGAGATAATGCTTGTTGACGCTTCAAGGCCTGTTTACATGTTGAAATATCCTATGTTCAGTGGAGGCGCAAATGGCTGAAGAAATACAAGCCAAAATTGAGAACTATCGCACGGCGCCTTTTGATGCCAGATTCCCAAACCAGAACCAAACCAGGAACTGCTGGTCCAACTATCTAGGTAAGATGACAACAAGGTCACAGAAGTGGACATGTTTATGAGCTAAATATGTTAATATTAAGTGATTCTCGATGCCATGCTTTATTTGTATACGTATAGCCAAAAACACATCGCCTATAGACCTACCGGAAATGAATAACAAGAGTGCCAAAAGAAGCATGGCAGTCTGTGACCTGTAATTAACGCAGGTGACCTTTTTATTCGTCATTTGTGATTAACTTATTTTTCTTATCTGCAGATTTTCACAGATGTGAGAAGGCTTTAGACGCAAAGGGGGTAGACACAGCCCCATGTGACTGGTACAAGAGGGTCTACACATCACTCTGTCCTGCATCTTGGGTAAAGATGTTTTTACATATCAGACCAAATTTACTTTGCAAGGACTTTTCTCACTGTATTTTTTATAAAGCTGTATTCCTTTATCATTCCTCTTACTGTATCAATTTGGGAAGTGTCTAAAAGAACTATAGTTTCAAATTCTTTGGAAATTTGTTAGTTTTTTCTGATGTTATAGTAATAACATCTTTACGTTACATACTGCACATGGATACATAAGCTTGAACATTGTGTCTGATACAACAGGTCCAGAAGTGGGAAGAACAGAAAGATGACGGGACCTTTCCAGGGAAGATGTAGGACTGCCACTTCTCTAGGATTATACTGTGTCTTCAGCTACTGTTTGGTCAGTGAAATGACCTTGAGTGGCTTCAGATTCTCTTTGAGATCATAATTCTCCTAAACAGAGCATTATAAGTGTTCATTCCCCACAACTGCTTTGAAATGTACAGCAGATTAATAAATATATTTATGAAACTCTGGTTGGTTTTGGGATTTGAACAAACTTGGTTAAAATCAGGGCCTTTTTAGACTTTTACAATCCATACATTAATCAAGTTTATTGATTGAAATAAATTCTACATCAATTATACACATTAAATAAAATTAGAAAAATAAATGTCACTTATACAACAATGCTCAACAGAAAGGGACCGTTAAACAGAGTAATGTCTATTGTTGCAGTTCAAATAAAATACAAAAAACTGCATTTCATATATGTATTTACACATGTACAATATCTTTACTCCATCTGAGGAGAAGGAAAATGTGTGATGAGGCGCATTGTAGCATAACATAACAATGGTCATTGCTGAAAACACTTTGTCATGCGAGCACTGGAAAAACATTGAACTACAACAGCTACTGATAAGTGTTGTGTTGAATGTAGAAGAACATTTCATCCTTTTAAAAGATTGCTCTGAGGTAAGTTTTAGGTATTTGCATAACAGGTTAACTATGATCCCAAAATCTAAACTAGTAAATGTAGACCTTACCATTTTAAATTGACTTATCAAAGCTGCTTTACAGGCTCAATAACTCGGGAGTATTTTAAAAAGGTCACTTGATTTTCAAACAAGATTCTCTGTCTGGTTCAAAGAAGAGTATTTGGGATTTCAGAAAAACATCTCATAAACTAATCTGTATAGCTAGAGATGTCCGTTTACAAAAGTGAAGAGTTTGAGCCTTGACCCATCAATATAAATCTTAAAGCGCTTCCATGTAAAACCCATACACATTACATACAACATGTTAAGCAAGTAGCCAACAAATAAATAAACAACTACATCTAGGCTAGAATACATATGGATATTAGCGTCTGCATAGCATTGCAATTGTCTGTGAACTGGCAAAGTGTAAATTAGCCAAGGATTCATGACCCAGGCTCATCAGTAGTTGAATAAAAAGTGATTTGGGCATCGCTTTGAGTAGTTACACATCACAAAGCAGCATTTTAATGTGCAGCACAGGTCACAAGTAGCAGCCACAATAATAGTGTAGAGTAGTAGGCACATTAACATGGCTGATGAATGCAGCCTGACTGGTAAAACCTGGTATAGTCACCCACGGCAACGGTACAGCACATGTGAGGCCTAAAGTGAGCTCAGCTGCAAACCCAACTATCCAACCATAAAATGACTGAATCACTGTATAGACATCTATGGTCACTCTTGTCTTCAGTGTGAGCTTTAACTGCCTACAATGGCTCCGCTCCTTTAATTAAATTCACCAACCAGAAATAAGATGACTCCAATTACGTGTAGTCAATACCTCCTCTTTCCATGTTTTCCACCATCGGTCATACATGTTTTAGGCCGAAGAGCTGCAAGAAGGAAACATGTATTAGCAACGGCACAGATAAAAGTACAATATCCATTTCGTTAAACCAGTGCTACAGGTTTGTCATAGGTTTCTTTGTACCACTCACCTGGATCTGCAGTCTGTTTCTTTTTGTTGTAATGGACAATCTGATTCTCATTGGTCATTTTGACATCTTGATCTTCCACATAATTGCTGTAACACAGGAACAATACATACAAACATTGTAAGACAGTTGTAGGGTTGGAGAATAAGAAAAAAGGAAAAGGTTCAAATGGCTAACAGATGGCAAAAGTTGAGTCCAGCTGGTCCAGAGCTTGGGTTCAAGAATGATACAAAAGATGTCATGGAGGGAAAGTGAAACAAGGAGGAATAAGGCATCACAAGAGTATAGAAGAGGTGAGGGGCGAGTGTGGGTTTCTTTCTAAGAATTATCATTGCAGGGATTGACCACAGGGGGGAGCTAACACTGCGCTATTTAGGCTGTTACTCACTGAAGGTGGTATCGGCTGCCACGGGGGCTGAAGTGAGGAAGAGTACAGTTTGTTCCATTTAAATGTTAGAACCATTCAGAAAAATCCCCATGCAGAATAAAAACAGTATGTGTTCCATAAGGTTTAGCTCAGTAATAGAAATACCTGATAACAGTGTTTCTTTCCCTGTGTGCAATGTAAGCATCATCAGTGAAAAGGATAGTGTGGTAAGGTACAAATGGGTCACAGGTTGGCAAAATGCCTCTTGTCACATGAATTACACAGTCCAATATCCCATTATACACTAAGAGGTCATCCACCAGCAACTGTAAAAAAAAGGAAAAAAAAACAAAACAAAGAAAGCCTGATTAGAAGTTCAAGTTCAAAACATTTTGCAAAACAAGACAACCTACCCCAAACTCCTTGACTCCCCGTTGTGGAGTCTTAGAGTAGTTCCATAACTTTATCATAGATACGGTGACTGGCTGATCAAATATCACATATACACGATTGACCTATAAAAAATAAAAATTGTTTTCATATCACTCAAATGAAAAGGAGAATTATATCATGAAATCAACGTGTATGTTCTCACCAGTCCTGGAAGAACTGGAGCCAACCACATGTGTCTCCCATCATGGGTATTGTTAACCCCATCGATTAATTTATCTGGGGTCCGCACATCGCCTGTTACATTGTCCAGTACATTCACACTGTCAGGAAATGCAGCAATGTCTAGAAAGGTTAACAGTTAGGAAGAGTAATTTAAATATGATACAGCCTAAATGAGATCTGGACAGATATTGCATTGCAACTAAAAAAAACACCCTGTAAAAAACAAAACAAAAGAAAAAACCCTGCCAAAAGAAGCTAAAGGATACTGTTGTCACTCAGTGTGATTTTTTCATGGTTCTGGTCATAAAACTCGAGGCCATTGAGACCAATGTAATAAGGGTCACCCCATGTGGTTAAAAGCTGCAACTGAAAGATGACTGACAGAAGAAGGTCAAGGACTATACAGACAATGAAAAAGCATTTACTGAATATGAAAAAGTGTCAGAGAATCAACTCCACACAAAACAACACAAATCTAAAGGATACATCCAGAAGGCATAATAAGAGCCTCATAGTCCATACTAGCCTCTTCTTGTTTCTTAGCATTTTCTCTGAATAACAAAACACAATCCATGTGTGTTAAACTGTTTTTCTTACCAAAGAATATGAGAGCAACATTGTCAGGACAGTACTTGTAAGGGAAGATCTCTGCACACTTTGTTTCAGTTGGTGTCTGAAGAAAATCAACAAAGAGGAGCTCCTGAGCAAAGTCAAAATGGCAGTTACCAGGTCCTTTTCTTATGAGAAAGCCGTCAGATGGAGAGATAGCCACATCATCCATTAACACATGGATCAATTTCACCTGAAAAAAACAACAACAAAAAAAACGCAAGAAACCCAGACAGAGAGTTAGATTAAGTTTAATTTTTACAGAAGTTTAGAAAATTCTAATTGTTGTAGAATTTGAACTGATAAGACGATAGTATGGGTATGTTCTTTACCCCTCTGTAGGAATCCTCAGGTGACTTGTTGTAGTTCCAGATTCGAAGTCCAGCAATGGTCTGGACTTTGTTAAAATTAATGATTAAGGTGTGAGGTTCTCCATAGGAGAAAGGGATCAGCCACATGTGCTGATCATCAGTTGTTATATTATGGCCATCTATAAGTCTATAAGGTGAAGAGAAATACAGTTTTTAGACTCAGTAAGAGGTATCTAACAACACGTAAACAGTACAATCTAACCATGTGACGTACTTATCTAAGGTCCGCAGATCATGTCCATACTCAGGCAGGTCATTGACGTCTCTGGGTGAAGCAGCCATAATGCTGAGGTCTAACGGTAAACTGTCGCCTTCCTTGCCCACCACCTCCAGCCCCGTCAAGCCCATGTAGTAAGAGTCCCCCCAAGTCAACACCATCTCTATTCTAAGGCCTGAAAGAAGTGCAGCGTCAGGTCAGCAACATCTACAACACTGAAAACTGTCCATGTGTCTAGATACTCACACTTTCCAGTGTACAACCCAGGAACATGCTCCACACAGTCTGTTGACTGAGTACTGGAGGGGTTCAGCTGGAGTTTCAGCTAAGATTAAATATATCAAATTGTAATCAAACCAGTATACACTGATTTATATTCATATCCTTTAAGTATTATGATTCATAGAGATGGTGCATACAATGAGATCTTCTTCTCTGAATCCTGCTTGAGTAAACGGTCTTTCCTCTCCCTCTCCATCTGCAGTGCGTGGCCTTTGGAGTTCCTCCTCATACACCAGGTTATCTGGACACTCAGCCTCAGTGAGAAATGTTTCATCATATCGAGACATTGCCTCCAAAATGTCATCATCAGTGGTGAACAGAATAGTGTCACCAAACTGGTCTAGCCCTACAATGGAACAATCAAAAACTGAATTTAACTATATTTAGAAACAGATAAACATGTTCTGACCAGTGACTTACCACCAGAGAGGGTCCCTGATGCTTTGGCAATTTCACCTCTAAATATACAAATGCCATCCAGCAGCATCTCTACCTCCTTCACTCCACGGAATGAGTGAATACGGGACTTGTTGTAGTTCCACACACGGATCATGGCCACATGAAACGGAGCACCAAAGTCAAGAAAAACTGTGTGATTTCGTCCAGGAGTGAAAGGAGCCAGCCAAAGGTGCATGTCGTCCTGTGTGCGATTTACTCCATCAATCAGGTTTGTGACCACACGTGGGTCCTTGCCATAAGCAGGCAGGATGTTAATATCTGGAGGGTCAGCGCTAATGTGAATTGGTTTAAGGGGCTCTCCACTGGAGCTGAACACTTCCAGTCCATTGAGACCCACATAATGGCGATCACCCCAAGTGGACAATATGTTGATCACCAGCCTCTGGCCCTTAGGCAGCACAGGAATCTCAAACTCCTCCTCCCGCTCCATAGAGGGGTCTTCATCAGGAAGAACAAAGGAGGAGGACAAGGGGCTTCTGGGAGCTGTTGAAGGGTTAGTTTGAACAGTGGGTGGGCCACGGCCCTGGCGCTGTAGGAACTCATCAAAGATATCCCCTTCAAACCCCATATTTGAGATGCGTCCCCGCTGGTGCTGATTGAACTTTATGAGGGAGTCCCAAGACTCCATGAGGCTGTCGTCCTGCTGGCTGTGGGCACTCTGTGTTCTACTTGTGTTTACATTAGAAAGGGGGTCATCTATCAAAATAAGAAGGCATGTAAACAAAAACTCTGACTTAAGCATTTATAAGGTATTTAAGATAATTATTTTGCACTACTCATTAGAGAAAAGAATAGATGAGACCTGTGCTGGATAATGCAGACGATCTGAAGGATATTTCTTCTGCCCTTCTGGAAGTGTTTCGGAATGAACTCCTACGTCCACTGATGGGTTTGTCCGGTTTTGATTCTACAAACTCCTCCAGCAGATCACAGTCCAAAGATTCTGCTCTCCGCTGGCCACCATTGGCAGCTCTTTCCCCTCCTCGACACACGCGGCCTGGATTACATGGGAGCTCCGGAAGCATGGAGCTTGATGAGACTGGGGAAGCTTTAGGCTCTGCAGATTGCTGAGGAACTAACCATCTGGGCTTCTCTCTGCTGGTCTCACAGCCTTCAGGGGCTCCTCGATTTAAGGGCTGCAGCCACTGCGGGGCCACTCTAGTAGAGGCAGGCTGAGTAGTGACTGTCTGCTCCAAGACTGCAGATGGCTCCTCAGTGGCAGACAGGACAAAAGAGTTTCTCTGAGGTGAACACACAGAAGATGAAGAGGCCCCAAAAGAGGAGATGGGTGGTAGCGGGGAATGAGAGTCCTGCATGTCCATCATTGCCTGTCCCAAAATCTCTGGTGATGGATTATAGCTTTGGTGTCGCTGAATAATGCTGTCATTACTGGCTCTACGTTCCTCATTGCGCTGAGGGCTAACACCTCGCAGACTGTGTCCCGAGGACACCGGGCTAGAGATCAGGTCTGAGACCTGAAAATCCTGCAGATCGATGGTAGTACTGTAGTCAAAAACCTGGTTACCACAGCCCTTGTCTAGGTCTCCTTCAAACACCAATGTGCTGTTGAGGTACAGCTTTATATGCTTTGCACCAATGTCAAGGTCCTGAAAAAGAGGAAATGTCTATGTATACAAGTTTCATGACACAGTAAGGACAAAGCAAGTACCAGTATAAAAACTACTGTCGGTCATACAAACAAATCTCTAAAATCCAGTTTGTAGCAATTCCATACTAAATCTAATAGCTTCTTACCTTTCAGGCTTGGTTTATCAATCCTAGTTCAACAAAGACATTTATTTATTGGTAATAAATCAAAGCAAGTCACAACTTAGTCCTTGTACCCCTCTATAAACAGTAGAAAGGTTGGGAGAAGCAGCCCACATTTGCCTAACACTAATCCTCTACAGCTAATCTCTAACTGTTCTACATTTGGACAGAATGACTGCTTAAAGAGCCACACCACTACAGCTCCCATCTGAAATGACAATCTGCAAGCATTGAGGATTTATGATTGCTATCAGCAAATATGAGGCAAAATTCATCATCATAGTGTGAATAAATAGCTCAAACCGAACACTAACATTGAGGCTTCGGTTGTAGTTCCAGATTTTTATGCGAGATATCCCAAAATCCAGGGTGCGTTCAGTGTTTCTGATGATGAAATAAAGCTGGATAGGAGGGTGGAAGGGACATGTCCACATATGACGGTCTTTCGTGGTCTTTGAAAATACACATAAAAGTTAGAATATACTGATATAATGAGTGTATTCATTAATATAAATTCTAGTAAAATTAATAAAACAATTTACCTTCATTTTACCATTTACAAGTGCTCCTAGATTGCCAGGGAAGTCAGTGTTTCTAATGTCCAAGTCATGAGGTGACACATACAGCTTCTTGTTTTTAAGGCAGAAAAACTGTAGCTCAGTCAGGCCAACCTGCAGAGCATTCCCCCAGTTGGAAAGAATCTCCATGGTAACATAAAGAGCTGAAGTGACCTCTGTGGAAGACTGTCTTCTCTACAATGACAACAAACTATTCACTCTCTCTCAGCATAAACACTGCCACATACTGAACCATGCAAGTCTGACTTACCAACTGTTTGCTGTGGTCCAGTTTGCCACACTGAGAAAAGTTATACCTAGGGCTAGTTTCCAGCTGTTCCAAAGCCTTGAGAAGTTTCTGCTGCTGTCTGCAAAAGTGGGAGAAATTATTCTATTCTTTTGTCTATGTCTAAATATGCAGTGTCCTTTTTGCCTACCTTGGGCCCATAAGCGTTATTCGTTGCATAGCCATTGTGACACTGTTGTCCTGCTTGTCATGAGCAGTGCTATGCATTAAACCATTCATCAGATTAGGCCCCCTGCCCTATATATAAATATATAAAGGACAAATTTGAAACTGTATACAAGATAAAACCAGGAGGTAATACACATTGGAAATAGAAATTACAAATTGTACTGACCAGGCTGCGATTGAAAGCATCAGAACTCTGCACAGAGCTGTTTTCTTTCTGGATGGCTTGACGCACATTGCATGCCATGTTGTCTGGGTCACGCTCCTCCAGGGAAGTCTTTCTCACTACAGACAGGGGTCTCTCTACTCTCCTTGTTCCTGAAAGATTATGAAAGTGAAGATCATACTTTTGATATTAAATTACATAGCAATGTACATATTATTCACAATGAAATCTTACTCTGACTATCCCAGTCCTTTGATGGGGGTCTGTCTAATGTTTTGCTTTTTACCAACATAGGCTTCGTTGGTATAAAGCTGTCCACATTGTCTTTCCTTTTTGCTGATATAGAGCGTTCAATCTTACGACCTGAAACAGCATGGTAACATTTACAATAACATAAAAAATAAAACACATGTTCATGTTTGAGTAGACACAATTGTTGTGCATCACACATATTTGCCTTCATCCATAGTAAATGTGCTGTCAAAGCAGACAGGAAGGACACACTGCCCAAACAAAAAAGATTGCCCCTAAAATCAGTACTGATTTGCATAGAAATAATACTTGCCTTTAGGTGAGGGTCCAAAGTCTAAGACTACAAGGTTATGGCTATGGGATTCGTTGGCTCGAGAGTTTGACGAAGACTTGGATGAAGTCAGAGGAAGCCCCAGTTCATCCAGGCTCTCTGTACTCTCATCTCTTTCAATGTGTTCATCCACCCACTCCTCCTCAGACTCCTCCCCAGCTGAGCCACGGTTGCTCCGCCGCATGCTAACCTCAAGGCTACGTCGCAAAACCTGTAATATAAATGGGGTCACTACATGCAGCATGGGGTCATTTGAACACAGCAAATAGTATTACATCAAAATAGCAAGTTTGCAATTTGATGATTATGATTCCTAAATCTTTGGCGATTTGTTACCTTAACTTCCTCAAGGTTCAGAAGTACTTTTTCGTTCTGTTCCTCACTATGACTGCCTTGGCTCTCGGATCTGGACCGTGAAAGTTGGCAGGTATTTCTGGGAGAACGCGGGCTGCGAGGTGAGTGAGGACTGGTTCTCTGAGGGAAACATCATGATTAGATGGTGAGGCTAAACTGTGCAGACAGCTGTATCTGGCACACAGCCCCTCCCCTTAAAATCACCCACACAAGCTTAGAAGACACAAGACATGGGCGTATTTACCTCCATATCCATGCTTTCATATGGCTCAAAATCGTCTGAATAGCGTTTTTCTGAGGTTATTTTCAAACTCTGCCCAGTCTCTGAGCGTATTTTCACTGAATCCTGCAAAATATCAAGAAATATTTACATTTACAATATATTTCATGAAGTAAAATAAAGGCAAAACAAAGAATGACTGGACCTGCATCCATTGTTTCCGTTGGACTTTCCCTGGGGCAGTGTGACTCCTTTGCTTCTGAGTATATTCCAGATTATGGCTATCTTCAGTTAACTGGTGGGCGCTTCTACAGGCATCTGCCGATGAGTCAGAGCACAAAAAGGAACATGAGCGGCGCAGAATAGACATTGCCTGAAAGGACAACTCGCGATGCAGTCACATTCGCAGATGGTCTGTAGCTCACTGAGGAAGACCAAAACACTGGCTGCCAGCTAGAACTGTCACTATCATTTATTTACTCAAGCTGGTCATTGAAGCATGCATTGTGAACTACAAGATTTGGGAGTGGGGCCAATAAGATGACGTCCTATACACTCACAAAACAGAGCAACATTCAGATGAATACTTCATAGAAATTACTCTTACATGATACAGATGTTTAATAAATAAAAACTGATTACATAAGATATTACATGGGAGTGTCTTGGTGTTTTTTCTCTGTTTTAACATGCAATGGTGTACCTGCTGTCCGCGCAGGCCTCCAGGAAGGCGGGGAAGTGGTGGCCTTGTGGAGAAAGTTCTTTGGAGCCTCTTTCCGGTTGACTTCAGCATTGGCACCATTAAGATAAATAGAAAAGCCTTGCTCAAGTCGCTCCAACTCAATTTCCTTTGGATCTTTCTCTTTAAGGCGTTTTAGGATTCTGAAACATAAAAATGAACATATGACAATTACCCAGGAAATTTGTTTGTGGTTAAAGTTATTTTATGCATTTTATATGCTTTGAGTTGGTGTCTGACAAGAAAGCAAGCAATCTGAGCAAATACCAACTTAAAAGTCAAGCAGGAAATAAACACCTTTGAGTGTAATCCTATCACTGCTTAACAGGTTGTGCTCACACCTCACCTGTTTTTGTGCTGGAGGGCAATTAAATATTCATCCAGATTGTCACCTGCAGTAGAGGCCAGCCTCCCTCCTTGGCACGTCTTACACTCCTTCATAAACATCAGACAAAGACACATAACAAAAAAAGTAAGTCAGAAGAGCAGTGTTTATTCTGTAAGGCAGCAGACTTTACACAAAATACAACACATACATTAGCTAGTGTAATGCATTAGCATGCATGTGCCGTTTTCACTCTTCACATACATTGTATAATTTACACAATTTCCATGCCATTGGCACAAAGTTTTAAACAAACATGCCACAAATTGCTGTGGGACAAGACAAAAATGTAGCTAAAAGTACCCAGATGCATTGATTTAATTTAAAGGCCTTGTAAAATTACTAGCAGCACTAGTTATATTTATTATTATAGACATAATCATGTCTGTAAATGATGTTGCTGTAAGAATTTTGTCAACATCTATGTCTTCAGAAGTTTTATGGATGCTATAATTTTACTTCTGTGTGTTTGAGTACAACTGAAAGGCAAACAAATAATCAAACCAAATACAACTGCTCATGACACAAGACATGACTGGTTCATACCATTTCATCACAATATGTATATTTTTCATGCAAGACTTGAATAGAAGCAAATACAGATAAAACAGGACCACAGCCCTTACTTGGCCTTAAGTTTTGAGACCAGTCAACTACTCTAGACAGAGCTTCTGCCATTGCCTGTCAGAGGCACAAGAGCTACAAAATGTTTAAGACAGAAGGATGCAAGTCAATGTTAAAAAAGCGAAGTTAAGTTTGAAATTTGTTTAACAGTTGTTGCTGTTCTTCTTACCTTGTTGTCCATTGTGTTCGTGCATTCCCATTTTAAATCACGGAGGGTGATGGCTCCATCATCTTCAGTAATTTAGCTTCACTGCAAACCAACACATGAATATTCCAATGCTTATTCTGGCATCAGTACTAGACCCGCCCGCAAGTGTCTCTAAAAGGACATGGGGCATTTATGACATCCATTCAAAAATAAAATAAAATAAAATAAAATTTATATTTAGTGAATCTATAGCAAAAACAGGCCCACAGTATGTTTCTTGTAACCATTGTGTTGTAACACAGAGGTAGAAGTGTTTGATATCATTTATTTGCAAAGGTAACATGACGTTATTAAGAGGAAACAAAGCGAGTAACAAACATTTTCAGACAGTGAGCCAAATGAAGCCAAGCCATTAGATAAAGTAACACCCAGCTCTGAGGGCTAGCATATGCGGTAATAACAAACTGATATGCTAAGCTACAAAGAGTTAGCCTCTAACGTTAGCTAGTAAACATCAAAACAAAACTATTCATAGTTGGCCGTTTCTAAGTCGGTGATGCTTACATACTTACTCGTTGAGCTAAATGATGCCTTTTCCATTTTTCTCTGAGCGACAGGCCATTTTTCCTCGTTTTTCATGTGTTGTGTTGGTTGGTAACCAGGATGGTTGTCCACCAATGGGAGAGCAGCATAAGTAAGTGAACACGCCCTGAGAGGCAGCCTGAACCTACCACACAGTATCAAATTATTTTAACTACACGTTTTTATATTTGACGATAAAGACATAGAAGACACCATAAATACACACCAGATACACAACAGAGCAATAATAGTAGCAGAGTTTAAACTATATTATATTTACATAATATTTTAGTGAACATCTTTCAACAACTTCTAATTTGCCCCATGACAATCCAGATTAAGTAGTTTTTCTAACAAAAAAATATGCTAAAAAATATAAAACTCTGCCACAGGAATGTCAAAGGTTTGTTAGACAGGTTGTCAAGAAAAAAAAACAGACTCATTTGAAGACAAAAGTTGAACACTGTTTTTATTTATTATAAATCAATACATTTTATATAAAAAGACAAGGGGTCAGAAATAAAATCATTGTAGGTAGGTGTAAACCAAAGGTTATGTCCAACCATCTCCCACAAAGGGGATGGACCAATGACAAGCATGTAAGTCTAAGTAACAATCATCCACTCATTCATCCCCAAATGCTAGCTATACTTAATATCAATCTACTATCTGGAAAGGTTTGAAATGGAAAAAAATGCAGTTGATATCAATCTCTCAGCAAAGCGTTGCAAGAATAGAGACTTAGCATGCCATTAGGTTTTTGTGCAATCCATTACCAGCAGCAGCTATCAGTACTTTGTGAGGTGCACACACATTTTGATAGCAGTACAAAGAAGTCAAGATTTTATTGCCCCCATTTTTCACAATAACAGGGTTGGTAAGTTGTGTTCAGAAATGATCAAAACCAGTTTCCCAACAGACATATACAAGAGTGAGGATAAATCTGGAATATTTGAATTTACAGTTAACCACTTGCAATAATTCAGATGAAACCTACATCACAGAGGCCACAGCAGCACAGTTAAATGCCCAGACAAACCAAGGTGATCACTGCACCTCAAGAACTCAGTCAAGACATACTCCGAGGGGCTGGTGTGTTGAAAATAACAACACTTTTCAGTGTTTTAGTTTTATTTGTTGATACATAGTTTTAGCAACTTTTCCAGGTTCCAACAATAATACTACCATGTGAATACATCACTGTTTGCAGTTTAGGAGGGCAACAGTTGTGAAGGCAACTCAAGTATAGCCAATTCATCCTCACAACACGGCAAAGGCATACAAATTCAAACAAAACTTAATGCAGTCTGAAAAATGTGATTGATCCCAAGCCTCATAGTAACATTCATCTTACCATTTAAAACATATTTTTTAGACATGATCCAATTTCCCTTCTTTACTCAAAGCAAGTCCTTGTACAAAACAAATAGGCAAATGGACTGTGTGTATAATAAAAGATGTTATGGCTTTCTGTTGCATGTTTTAATACCAAACTGCTGGGTTATGGTAGGTAGATAAATGTTAAAAAAAAATTGACTAACATGTCCATTTGCTAAAAGACAAGAAAAATTAAAACAATAAATAGAAGTGCTTAAAACATAAACGTTTTTAGAGCCCTTTCAAAAAACAAAATGTATTGTTGCAAAGCAAGAATCCCAGCCCAACAGAAATGTGGAGAGGACAGCTGAGATGATAATACTAAAATGCGCCCAATGATTCACAGAGTTCACACAGTTCATTTATAGGTCATATGCTTAACTTCGCTTCTTTCAAATTTGTCATGTTTCCACCAATCAGTGACCCCCCCACGTCTGTGAGCCACGGCTTCCCTCTGTTTCCAGTCTGTCTGTTGTGGGAGAGCATTCTGTCTCAGTACATTGCCCCTCTTCCTCCTTCGCCATCAAAGCCTGTTCTGCCTTTTTTCTGTGTTCCAGTTCCCATTCAACAAATGTGTCAAAAAGACTGGGCCATGCCTCATCTTCACTGTAGTTGCTTAGATCTGGCCCAATTGCTTGTGTAAAATTAAGGAACATGTTCCATGTGTCCCTAGAAATGCCACGAATACCTGATGGATTCTCAGCCAGGAAGTCCAGCCAGCGCTCCAAAATTGCAGGTGTGTCCTGTGTAAAAACCAGGCGCCACAAAGCAATGGCAATATCCCGCTGCAATGACCGTTGCCCCTCCTCAGCATCTAACCCAAACTGAAAGGTGAATCGATACAGGTCCTTGAAGTTCTCCTCTCCCTGGGCCTCCAGCAGCATAAAGGGAAAACGTGAGCAGATGCCTTCCAGACTGTCCGCTTGGATGGCCTTGCAACCTTCAACAAACTCCTTCCTGGGGAATTAAAAAGACAACAGAGCAAAATTAGAAAATGTGTTAATTTGACATAGGACGGAAAAAAAAAAATCTTCCTAAGTAGTAGTAATAGTAAAAAGTACTTGCTGGGTCAAAAAACAAAACAAAACACGGAGTATGGAGAAACAGCATAAATGTCAACAAAATGAACAAGCACAAAACTAAAAATCTGAGGTAAACAGAAGTTAGACTTCTGGTTCTGAATAGAGAATATTCAATGGGGGGTGTCTTCCAAAATTGAGAGACATGCTACATCAGACAGCAGCTGTGACTGGTACATCCCAATTGGTACAAGTAAGCATGATAGTTTCAAATCAAGATTCAGTGCAGAGTTCATACATTATTAGATGATGTTTGTAAAGGTCCTAACTGAAGTGTAAATTTTTTCTCTTAAAAAATATAAGTTGTTTTTAACGGAGGACCTTACTGCAATTAGTAGCAGTATACCTTGGCATTGCCAACAAGTAACAATGGAAGTCTTTGTTTTCACTAATAAGCAAACCAACTCACTGATGGCAGCTGTACCAAATTAGGGAGTGCAAAAATATGTTAATGTGTAATTTAAACAGTGTCTTACCGTGTAAACTTGCACATGGTGGCTGCTTGAAACTTCCATGCAAGAACCAGCACTCTAAATTCTGCAGGGTCCACACACAGGTCATTGCAGAATCTTTCCATTCCCTCTTCCAGAATAGCATCTTCCTGTTCATCCTTGTAGCAGGAGAAAAGCTCGTCTATACGTCTCAATGAAAGCCCACCTTCTAGGCACTCCTCTTTGCGTGGTTCCCCCATCACTGCCGGGATGACAGGTGTCTCCACTGTCACCTCCAAAGCCTTGGTTCCATTTGATAACTCGTTGTTGCTTTTGCTACATGGGGCTATGGACTCTTCTTTGTGGCCACCAAAACCTATGGCACAGCCACCTTTCTTGTGGGACTTGGAACCACCTTCCTTGTCTCCACTCTTGCTGCCCAGTGAAGATGTCGGATTCTTACACTTGGTGACACACTGGCCCATGTCTTTCTACCTGGTCCCTCTGCTGTAGTTCCTCCTCACCTTCAGTCCCCGCCCAAGCCACCTAAACGCCTCAGCTCTGGCCTGGTGAGACGTCTCAACATGCCCTCAGTCCTAAGGTAAAGAACAGTGAGATTTGTTATCACAATACAACACAAATTAGAATTATAAAGTACCCAAACAAGCCACTTCTAACAGAATGCCACTGACTATGTCCACAGGGAGCAACTTTAGAAGTAATTCTGATTTGTAAATAAAAGAATTCTGCTGCTGTGGGTTTACTAACGAGTTAATGTTAGGGTATTAACTTACAGAGAGTCCCTCAGATGGCAGGGGCCACAGACCAAAGTGTCTTTCTATTCTTCTCCATCACTGCAACCTTGACATCTGCACTGCTGTAAAGACACATTATCTTGTCATCATAAGCAGAAAATGATATCACTCCCAGTCCCACAAGCCTATTTTTGGTAGCAGTGTTTTAATATTCGCAATCGGTCAAAACATGATAATGCTATTCACTTCTGGGAAATCTTTTAGTTAATAGACACACGAAGTAACGCCCTGTATGAATGGTTCTACAACTAATCATTTTGTGGTAGTCTTTTTAAATTGCAACTTGCGCAAATTTCTTACAGCCAATAATTATTAGTTTAGTACTGATTAAAGGTAGTGACAAGGGACAGCGTCGCTGAAATTACCATTTATAAATGTAACTTTTACTTTTATTTAGACTCAGCAGTTGAATATGAATCAATTCGTTAGTTCAATATTCGTAAATCTAGACAATAACATCTTGTTTTGAGTTTTAACTATTGTAGTGAAGATGTTAACAATCAGTTGATATCCAGAATGACTGGTATTCTATGACTGCTAAAGAGAGTTGTGGTAAGAGATTTAGTAATATAAAATTGCCTGGCCCTGACGGCGTCGCCATAGCTAACACTAGCTAAGCTCGCTTTACCAAAAGTTAGCTAAAGGCTAAGCTAGGTCTTTCGAATAAACACACACAATAACCATAACGCTACTGTATACAGACACACATCACGCCTACCTTTTCGATGAGACTCGCTTTGCCAGGTATGATGCACATCACTCCAGAATAGCACACGATCAAATTAATAAGTTGATTAAGATGGCAAGAGGCGAACTGAGAAACTCGTCGCGTTAGGTTTAACTCGGATTGTTAGCCACCATAGCAAGCCGGAAACTTCCCTATTTCTTTTACAGAAACTCAGCTTTTGAAAAACATACGCACAACCCTTACAGCCTCTGTGTGCTTGGCAATCTGAGTTTTTTCCTGTTCTCACGTCGATGTGAGTAAGACGACCAGTTTGGATAAAAGCAGCCAATTTCTTTGTCATTGAGTGAAGCTACATTTTGGGCATTTTCCTGCATCACTTCCTCCCTCCTCCTACAAGCAGTCAACAGCTGATCTTCATCTCGATGGTACTGATCATGTGTCATTTATTGAACAGTTTACGATTATTACCGGTTAATTACTTATATACTAATATTAAATTTGAAACAGACTAAGAAACAAGTGGAACGATTTGCGAATCGCGATTATTAGAATGTAAAGAAAATTCAACGTAAATTTAAAAATAAGTTTGAACGTAATAACAGTATTTAACATAAAAAAGCATTAAAGATCTGTGTTAAAAGTACTGTGTGTGCTAAGAGTTTGGGGTTAGTTTTTGTACTGTATTTTGAGCAGACCTTACTGTTTAGGTCAGAAAGACGTCATAAGCATGCGACAAATGTTTTAAAAGACAGGGCATACATAGCTATACGTAACAGAGAGGTTGCATCTGGAATCCTGGTAAATAAGCTCAAGAAACAGTAAGTAAAACACATTTGACCATTTCCATAGCAAAATATCTACATGTTATTTACGTTTTCTTGCTTCCACAGCCAACCCCAGTAAACATTTATTCACAATGTTAGAAATTTGGACAGAACACTACTAAATATACCGAGTACATTTATGTTATATGACAATAAATAGATTACAGATTTCATTAACATGTAGGTTCATTGTTATTCCAAAAGCCAAGTTAGATCCAGTGTAATATATATTGTAGTAGTAGTAGAAGTAGTTGCATTCACACATACACATAATATACTACAGCTGCCCTGGGGGGCAAATCACTCATACAAATTCCAAAACACATTGGTGGTGTCTTAATACTCTGGTGTTTAAATGTGTGTGTTTGTGGAACTGAACTACTAACTACTGTAAAATTTAAAAGTGAATGTTTCTGTTCTTCTCATATTCAGACCCCATGACGTCCTCCACCAGAAACACTGTGTTGTCTCTCTATAAGCGTATATTTCGAATTGCAAGGGTTTGGAAGTCTCAAAGTGGTGTCGCAAGTGACACAGACACAGAGAAAAAGTATATTCTCCAAGAAGCTCGCATGTTGTTTAGAAAAAACCAACAGGTGTGTATTTTATTAAACAAATAGATTCAGATTTGTTTATATACTAATCCTGATTGTACTTTTAGCTGTCTGACCCAAAATTGATAAATAGGAGCATAGAAGAATGTGAAGCCCGAATAGAAATTGGTAAATGCAGTGAATGATTCATGTATGATATTTGTCTCTCTATTTCATTTACAAGCTAAGTGCAGATTAACTTTCCACAGGCCTTCATTATAGAAACCCATATCCAAGGGCTGTATGTACCTTTAATTTACAGCATATATGTATATTAATTAATTTGTGAGGTTTTGACCTTTTTTTTTTCTTTTTCCCAGACCTATTTGCCTCCATTAGGATTGGCAACCCAGAAAGGTAGAATGCTCCGAGCTCAACAGCGCCTAAGAAGGCAGGCCAAGCCAGTTTACTTACAGTCACATGAAGAGACCTGATGCTCAGGATCCTGCACCATTAGCAACAGTTTAGATTACCACACACAAGACACTGGAGTATAATGACAAATTGAACTCTTAGGTTTATCAGTCTTTGTGTACATGAAACAGCTGTGCACTAACAAAAGCATGATGTCAGTAAAAGTGAAACCTTCAAAATGTGTATATTTGCATAATCGATGGAATGTTTGTATTTATGTTTTTTGTACAATGCAATTTGAAGATAAAGTTTAGCTAATGAAAAAAAAATGTGTTTGGTAATTTTGGTCTATGGGTCTATGAATACAAACTATTTTGCACTGTACAGGGTTATGTTATGATGCATATTTTAAACTATACTTTCTTTGAATATCAGTTTGGCAGTAGAGGATGAGAAACACTGGCATTTGTCTTAAAAAAACATCCAACCAACATGATGAATATTGGTACTTACTGGAATTGTAAAGACAAGTCTTAAAGTAGGGTGAGATGATACAGTGCTAAAAATCAAATCACCCTGCGATGATCTGCCATTTTGGTAAAATCGTCACATTGTGATTCACTGTTCCTCTGTTTGATGCAGCTGCCTGCTCAAACACTTGACATTTTCCGCATCCATTGGGCAGCCTCTGTAAGGCTCTTACAAGTGGCGAATGGATTTAACCAATCACAGTAAAATGTGAAATCTCAGAAGCAGCAGATGTCTGTATTAACCTTATAGAGGCAATTGAATAATACAAAGTGTGCATGAGTCATGGTAAAATAAAAATATTTTTTGCCATATCACCCACCCCTATGTTAAAGGTACCCTATATAACTTTTCTAGTCAAGGGTCCGTCATCATCTATAGAAAAAAAGGAAAAGAATTAAAAGAATGCCCCCCAGATGGCGCCAGTAGTCTGTTTGATTCGTACGCTGTCCACAAACCTGCATATTAGGTCAAGATGAGCTGTTTATATTACTAGCTTGCAGTTTCAAAACAAAACAACAAAAGTTACTTTGAGTAGATTTAATATTTAAAATGATTATTTTATGCAAAATTAAAAAAATAAATAAAGGGAAGGTTCTCTATGTCCTCTGTTCACCTTGACCTTTTTTTGTCTCGTGCTTCTTCACTAAACCTGCTTATTTTTTATACTAGTGTGACACAATATTTACTTCATAACCATGAATATATTACTTTCCATACCTATATTTTACAACAAGTGACAAATTGGGTGGCAGACTACAGTGGCGGGAAGAGGGCAAGAAAAGGGGCATTTAACTGAATAATTTACCATTTTGGACAGAGCTACTACTACAAACTGCCAAAAAGAACCAGGCACAGAGATAATGAAAATGTTTGGAAGTGTTTTACTGGGTCGTGTGTCACTGAATCTTTTAATTAAAATACTGCAACTCAAAGAATGTAAAACACTGACCTATGGCGTCTCTATACTCTGATTTAAAACGTGTATGTGTTTGTGTGTGAGAGCCCAAATAGATGGAAATCAAACATATTTCCCATTTGGCGTGTTCATTAAGATGCACTGTCCTGATGCATAGCTTTTCAAAAGTACCTTGGCTTAATGTGTGTCTTATCAGACAATTAAGCTACATGCATTTTCCCAGAGAATAGTACATTATCATGTAGATCCTGCATGCTTTCTGGTGATAAATGACTAACTTATAAATAATAAACATTATGTTCACTGATGCTGACATGATATGCCTCAAGTATTATTTAGAACATATTACAATTACAGCTGCAATTTAGATATGTTTCATGACAGTAAGAAGCCTTCTATTTTTGAGTGAAGGTGTTAGGCACAACAGCTGTTTCAAATATGTAAATTGAACAGTATAAACTCATGGAGCCACACAAAACTCTGTGCCATAGGTTAATGTTATAGCAGTTTTAATGGCTGGGCAGTATTATAAGTTTGTTTATTCGATACAATGCCACAGAATATTATCCAGTGGGACTATTTAAAAATTAGAATGTTGTTTGTCTTGACATTCAGGCAAGAGAGAACTGACCTTTTGATCTCCTGAGTACATTGTGAAAAAATATCAACAAATGTTATGAATAGCAGAATGCTAAAAAAGTTTGAGGCTGTGCATTTCAATACAAGTTATGTTAATTATATTGAGCTGTGCTTACTATAGCTGAGCTTTTCTCATGGGTATATTTTTTAAATAACTGAATACAACTTTAAATGAGTAATTCAGGGAATATACTATACCCAGAGATGTCACTAGATTAAACAATTTCATCTTTGCTCTTAAAAGAGTCTATGCTCAGTTTACATGACAAATCCAACAAAAAATATAAGGGTTAACTTCTGTCATCTTTCAAATGCAATCAAAACAAGCTATTAAATGTAAATGTAATTCACTGTTTCAACTAAAAATACTGCATAAAGGCATGTGACCCACTTGGGTAGTGACGTCATGTGCTTAAGGGCTGGGATTGAGGGGAGAAATGGTTCTGTCTGATACAAATATAGACATTTGAAGGTTCACCTGAGAGCAGTGTCATTATGAACATGATAAATAATCTTCAAAAGCACGAAGAATACACAGCGCCAAAAAGAGCACAGTGATCCATCATACAGGCCCTATAAGCCCTTCACTCGCCGTGCATTATTTAGGGGCTTCAGCGAGACCCCGCGGGAAATATGGTGCAAGAAACAGAATATGGGAAAGGAGCCAAAACTAAAAGGAGATGGACATTTGAAGATGTATTTAAATATCCACAGTAAGTTAATGAGGTGATTGTAAATAGGGACTTCTATGTGATCATCTTACCTGGTCAACTTACTGCTACAATGCAGGTCACATTTTCGGTCATCCCACTTGAGCCATCATTAAATAAATATCAAGCTTGTTTCCAGTTCACCAGTGGTCACAACACAGAAGATAAGGGAAACAACAGTGAACAAAAGGTTAGTTGGTCAAATGAGTTGACCAGTAACAATATACAACAAATAATCAAAATAATACTATGAGATATTACTTCTGATTTGCCCTGTGAGGTACAGTATGTAAGGGTTATGTGGAGTGGCTCTGTCTGGATGTCATCCAACTGAGAGGCAATGCTCTGTTAAGTTTTGTCCACTGAGAAGCAGCACTGCAGGATCTCTGCGTCAAGGTGAGGTCATGGGCAGTGTAAAATATTGATGAAAAAGAATGTCTGGAGTACTTCAACAATAAAATAAACATCAAATGTCTAGGGAAGTTTTGTTAACCAATCATGAATATGATCAGCATTATTTGTTATTGTTACATGCACAGGTAAAGCTGGTGGTATGTTATAAAAATATGCATTAGGTAGGGCCTCACAATCAGTGCATAGTTTGTAATGGGTCACAAATGTCGGTAATGACATCTTAGCTGCACTTTATACCTGATACATGAAATGTCAAAGTATGATTGGCAACAATGGGATAGATGTGAGCCAGAGCAGTGTAGAGGTGTTTAACGTTGACTGAATGTGGTGAGGTCCAACTCAAGTGTTGGGTCACAGGGTGAGGGTAACTTGAAGAAGTCATTAACTATTTAGCTGGCCTCCTGATCATGGTATGTAAACAAACATATTCCATGTGAGGGACACAGGATCTTTTGGCTTGGCACACCAGTGAAAGCTTAGATCTCTGAAATCTAAAAATGCCTGCAACAGTCAGAAAAGAGTTCATAATCAAATAGATTTCTGTATGGTTGGTCAGCATCATGCACCAGTGTAAATGCAGAGTGTAAACATGTAGTCACATGCACACACTAATATCAGCAAGCAGTGAGGGAATAATTGTTTTTGTCCTGTGCAGGCTTGCATCTCCACAAAACTGACTCTTATTTGGCCTGAAGTAATTGGCCTGAACAATGTTTCAAAGTAAATTTTTTTCTATTTTCATGGAATCATGCAATCATGCAGGTAACATGTTGGTGCGACCCCCAAAAGTGATGAAGTAATGCTTTAACATGAAAAAAATCTGAAAACAACACCAAAAAACACACATAAGTTATTTATAATAATTTTTAAAATGTTCTGGTTTGTGGCTTATATACTTGATAATGTACTGCATGTTTCAGTATGTTCCATGTTATAATTTCTGCCTTCCGTTTTTGGTTCGATGAACAACAACAACAACAAAAAAATCTTCATTATTATTCATTTTAAAAACAGAACATGTAAACCATCTCCAACAAATTAAATCAATGTTAACAAACGTATCCTTGACTTGATTGTGCTGGCTGTATGCAGGTAGATGGAAAACTCATTAAAGAAGCAGATGAATAATAGAGGAGGTCTTGTTGGTGTTAGACATGCTTGGATTACATCTTTACTGAATGTCATGGGGGGGGGGCAGGCAGGGTGGTTTGGATAAGAAGAGGACATCGAGAAGGAGCCAACACAGTGAAAGTGAGGAGACTGTAAACTCATTGGGCAAAAATGGAACAAAACTTTAGAGTTCCAGACACAAGATGCAAGAATTGGATGCGCACAAGTTCATTGTGCTACGAGAAATTCTCAGTGTAACGCAACCCACCATCACATTTTCTGTGCCAATTACAAAATATATTTCTAATTATGGCTTGGCAATTAATCACATTTTAATTAATTCTTTCATGTCTAATTGTCAATGATCAGCTTGAGTCTTCCTAATTAAGCTGTCTACAACCAATCCTTTGCCAATGAAAGCATGTGATTTTAAGTAGTTTGGAGGAAGACATTGGGCTATTTTGAGTTAAACTTAAAGTCTGCCTTGTTAACATTCACAGAGTCAGTTCTGAAAACCATTTTATTTTGTTCTGGAAAAAAGATATATATGTACTTTTTTTTGCCTTACTACTTTACCTATTTCTAGCTAACTAGATTTTTTTTTTAGAAATACTTACAGATTTTTCATATGAAGCTGAGGCCCTGTAGTGAAAGTGACAACTGAAGCGAACCAGTAGTAGTTCACTTTGCGTGTCAAGTTTCAAGAGACAAGTGTTGCCTGGTCAGCTCTGCAACCAGATCTGTCGAGCTACAGCAAGAAAATAGAGATGGCTATCAAGATATTTACCACAAATTAATACATTAGACCACATCTAAATTAACACCAGTTGATAATGCAAAGTGTCATGGATGTGATTCCAGCCATACTTCCTTCTCTGAGGTGTCAGGGAGCTTAGTGAAAAGTGAAAATGAATAATCACAGGTCTGAAAGTGTGATCCTCGCCACATCCTTTACATATGCCTTGTTACGGGGAGCAGCAAAGTGCAAAGCTAATTTTAGAAAGGACTGAAAAAGCTGATGTC